ACCGGAATCTGAGATATTTGGATAGAGGGCTAGAGTCCTAGATTGTGAGAGGACTTCAGTTTGGATAAAGATAAGACTCTTAGAGAGTTTATCCCAATCCTACTGGGAGTCCAAGATTAGCAGTAATCCAGAGTCCATTGAAGCAAGGCTTCTATTGTGACTTGATTTGTGTTGGCTATAAAAAGAAGGTACCCTCATGGGTCTAAGGTATGCTTTTTATGCTCTGTTTAGTGAGTTAAGCACTATTGGTTATCTTTGAGAGATATTTTACTGACTTGATCGTCGAAGTGCCCCCGGGTGGACGAATCACCGCGGGATTCTTATATTTTTGTGACAGGTTGTTCGGGCTTAATCTATTCTGCCAGTGCTCTCCAACTGAGTTCCCCCTTTTTGGTTGTGTGGTCGGAAATTAACACCCACAAGCCGAGGCGATAGAACCTAGGGGGCAGTTGTGGGGGCATGTTTTTGGGTAGTCCATGTGGCCGAGGTTGTTAGCCAAGGTGCCACGTGGGCAGACCATAATGCCGAGATATGGTGCAATAATACCGGAATCTGAAATATTTAGATAAAGGACTAGAGTCCTAGATTGGGAGAAGACTTCAGTTTTGATAAAGATAAGACTCTTAGAGAGTTTATTCCAATCCTACTGGGAGTCCAAGATTAGCAGTAATCCAGAGTCCATTGAAGCAAGGTTTCTATTGGGACTAGGTTTGTGTTGGCTATAAAAGGAAGGTACCCTCATGAGTCTAAGGTATGCTTTTTATACTCTGTCTAGTGAGTTAAGCACTATTGGTTATCTTTGAGAGATATTTTACTAACTTGATCGTCGGAGTGCTCCCGGGTGGACGAACCACCGCGGGATTCTTATATTTCTATGACAGGTTGTTCGGGCTTAATCTATTCTGCCAGTGCTTTCCAGCTGAGTTCCCCCTTTTTGGTTGTTATAGCAAAATGAAGTTGTAAATGACACAGAGTTTTTTTTTTTTTTTTTTCCTTAGAAATTTCATATGAATCTAATTATCTAATTTCATGACAAACACAAATAGTCTATTTTAAGATTGTTGTATAATTTGTGTACTAAAATAAATAAAATACATAGATTCATAATTATCAATTTACATTTGAAGGAGGAAAACAACATGTTTACAATTACAAGATTGACAAGAATACATCATAAATTGAAATGGCATAAAATAAGCAAATCGAAGCCTATGTGATACCAATGTCCTTAAAACAGATTAGCCGCCTCACCGTGGGTGTTGGAGGAACGTCGACTTTTGTCTTCCAGGATACGACGGTTTAGACCAGCTAACGCAGAAACACTTTCTGTTAGCTTTGGCGAACCGACAATGGCAATACTCTCTCAACACAGGAAGAAAATTATAGGAGAAAACAAACTGACTATATATCTAGAAGACAAAAAATTATGCACCAAAACCAAGGGAGATGGGTCTCTTTTTAAACACCATGAGGGACAGAGGAGGAGCCTCCAGCCATGAAGGCTAGCAACCAATGCCCATTAAGCCTGCAAAAACTGCCATGAAAGCTAGCAACCAATGCCCATTAAGCCTGCAAAAACTGTTGGAGTAATGGACCAAAACTGATGGGACAATAATATCTGAGATATATATTCTGTATACACAAGTGAGTACATCTGCAGCAAACTTGGTCCAAAAAGATTAAGTTGGTAGACCACCAATCTGACCCAGTACATTCCCTCAAGCCTCAAGATCCAAGACCCACGGATCACAGACCCGGCCCGACCCAGGCGTGCGGCGAACGTGTGTGGCATTTTTTCCATAACCAACTTGGACCATAGTTTTGGCCCAAGTCCATTCTTGAAGCATCCATAACTCCCTTCTTTCGAAAAATTTGAATGCCCCAAATGGCTCATACCCTTCTCATAGTCTTGAGGTTTAAATACCCATCAAAGTTTTCCTCTATAATCAATGTGAGATTGGTAATTATACACAATTCTCAATACCTCATTCATGAGGCCAACTTTATGAGATAATTTTTCCTTCAATTCTTAATAATTTTTTGTCATTCTTTTTGTAGTGTAAATACCTTGTTACAAAGAATCTAAACCCATTCAATTAATGGTTGTGACCTATTTTAATTTCACATTAAAATCACCGTAAAATCATTTTTTCCAACACAACGAGCTTGGCAAACTTCTGCAATCACGGGCCCAAAACTTGCCAACAAATAATTTGCACCCAGAGTGCCACTGATCACTTTCAAAGAATCCCCCTCCAGATGAATGTCATGATAGTCGAGATCCCAAGCAAACCGAACAGCCTTGAGGGCCGCCATTGCCTCTAAAAAATCAACATCAGAGATTAAATTCGTCTGTTCTGATAAATAAGCCATGACACGCCCCAAACTGTCCCTAGCAACCACACTTACTCCCAAAACATGTTGTGTACAGCCCATAGCCCCGTCGAAATTAATTTTGTACATTCCATCTGTCAGTGCCGACCAAATCGTATTTGACATTGGAGTAGGCAAAGGACTGGAACATACCTAGGCTGCGACGTAAGCTGAGTGACTGTCAAGAGCAAGAGTGGTCATCTCCTGCGCCACCCGTTTGGATCGAGCAAAGATAACCTGATTTCGGTGCAACCAAATACTCAAACAAACTGTGAAAACCAGCCCCAAAATTGCATCATCATGAAGTAAATAAATTCCCAAAATCCACTCAACAAAACCACAGGTCCAATCCCGTTGCCAACGATTGTCAAGACACACAGCTATCCAAACCCGTTCCGCAAAATCACACCCAAACAAGCAATGGCACACAGTCTTCGCCTCATCAAGACAAATGTCACACATTTCCTGCAACATTATCCACTTCTTAATCAGATTTGCCTTTACTAGAAATATATCATGACATGCTTTCCAAGCAAAAACTAGAAATATATCATGACATGCTTTTCAAGCAAAAACTCGAATTATATGACGTTTTCTATTTATTTTTTAGGGTATGGCTTCTGTCCAGTCCGGGATCGGACTGGACCGTGCTGTTGGGTTCGTGGGTCTACCAAGAGTCCCGTTTTGATAATTTGAACCGTTGAATGTGTAGAACTCGTCGAGTACTATATAACTGTAAAAAATCACATTGATCGGATATCGATAGCTATATGATCAAATCAGTTTTTTGTCAACCGTTAATTTGTTTACTGTCCAATTTTTTTAATACGAAACTGATTTGATCAGATAGCTATCGATATCCGATCAACGTGATTTTTTACAAGCATATAGTACTCGACGAGTTCTACACATTCAACGATTCAGATTATTAAAACGGGACCTGTGGTGGGCCCCCACAGGCCCAACAGTACGGTCCAGTCTGGGCCATACCCTATTTTTTAATATAAGTTAGTTTTAAGACTAAATTGAAAAAATTTGAAACATGAAATATCAAATGATAAAGTAAAAAAATGACCAAATATAAGAAGGACAAAGTGTCATTTATCCTTTCTATTTTTTTAATTCTATTGGGAATTCAACGCAAATTAGATATATATATATATATATATATATATCATTTTCTTTCAAAAAAAAGAAGTATAATTAATATTTTTTTTTCCACAAGCGATCAATATGAGTCAGCATATTGTATAATTTTTTTAAAAAATGCTTAAAATACCTAATTTATCACTTTTAATGATGTGTCTAATAAGTGTTAAATTTTGATTTGTTAAACATTCTATCATGTGGAGTCTAACCTCAATATCACATCATTATGGGTGGTTTAGAAGTAGTAAATTAGGGAGATATATTATTGTTGAATTTTGGAGCATTTAACAATCAGTCTTATTAACTAGACTTATTTATTTACAAATTCTGACTAATAAATTTATTACTGTAAACTTATTCAAGGGAGATTGATAAAATTATCACTTGATAAATTTATCAATAAAATTTAATAGGTAATAAGTCTCATAAATAGGACATTTTTATTGACCCTGGTCCAGTTCAGAACATTGCGCTGAAGTATTACCATCAAAATTATATTGAAATGTGGCCCAATATCGCACCTTTCTCATCAACCGCTGCCCAGTCTAATTTAGGTAGGTCTAGGCCCACTAATAGAACCATGGAATCCGAGTCCGTGTTGACAGCCCAACAACTTCGCATGTTATGAAATTTATTCTGAATTATTTTTGTTTTTTTTTTAAATTTTTAAATGATGAAAATACAATAAATTTTATAATTTTAATATAATCATATTAAGTTTCTTTGAGATTTTAATTCATATACTATTTAGCCTCCTTATTATCAATATTTTATTTGTTTTATAGATGAACAAAATCATATTATTATCTTTTTTATATTAAAATGTATACTTTACATTATTTATTTTTTATATTTTTACACCATCTGTATTAATCTATGTTCATTTAAATTTACCAAAAAAGAAATCAATGTAATCATATTAAAATTATAAAACTTACTGTATTTTTTTTTTCAAATTTCAAAATAAATCAATGTAATTTTCCCTAAAGCATAACACCATGTGTCTTTTAAGTTGGACTTGTTAAAATTTTTCTTTTAAATCTCTTTTATTGTGGTATGTAGTAAATTAATATGATAGGTGTCCTATCTATTTTTGAATCTTTATTTATTTATTAATATAAAACTAATCGATTAAAAATTCAAATCGAGCGGGAAAAATCTTTAACCAAGGTTAAATAGAGTGATTAAGCTGGCAAATCCAACAAAGAACTTTTTGGGGAATATAGAAAAAAAAGTAAATTGTTAATTTATTAATTTATTTGGACCACATAAATTTTTTTATTTTTTTATACGTTTTAAAAAAAAATTTAAAAAATAATTAATACTTCTCAAAACAAGCCAAAATACAGAGCCTAGCAGCAGGCAGCGAACGCTAACCGCGGTAAAAAAGTGACAGCAACCATAGTTAATTAACCAGCTGTTTCTCTGCCCTGGCCTGTGCTGTATATGCTATAAATACCAAAAGGCAGAGAGGTCTGAAAGTTAAAAAAAACCATCCTCGAATCGAAGCGAAAGGCGTCTTCATAAACGTCGTTCGTGAATATCTTATTTGCTCTTCGTTTTTCTTCAAAATTTTTAGGGTTTCTTTGCTTCGACAATGAGAGAGTGCATTTCGATCCACATCGGTCAGGCCGGTATTCAGGTCGGCAATGCCTGTTGGGAACTTTACTGCCTCGAGCATGGCATTCAGGTAAATACTACCAAGTTTATATATATATATCAATTTTGTGTTTCTACCAAGTTTCGTTTCGTGTTTTTGTCAATGTATGCTTTATTACAGATTGTTGTTCATCATATATTATATGCATTCTACTGAAAACAAACAATTACAATGGAAACTATTCATAATGTTTTGGTTAAATTATCTGATATGTATCTTTTGAAATTGCTGGTATTGGTGTTTGGGATTATTGTGCAAATTATGGATGAGATCCAGCCAGTAATAATTTTGATTATTATTCCTGATTTTTTTTTTTTTTAATTGTATGGTGTACTTTAAGAATTATGATTTTTAAATTGTAAATGTTGAGTTCTGCTTTCATTGTTATGTACAATCTGATCAACAAATCATATACCTATAATATGTTTCTTTTGGAGATTATGGATCTAGTGCTATGGACCTAGTCCATGGGTTGTTGATATGTTGATTATTAGTCTGATCAGTTTGGGTGCTCTGTTTTGAAATTCAACAGCATCCGCATTGGATTCGTTGTTCAGATGTTTGTATGACACTGCATGTGGGGCTTGATTGTTTGTTATATGTAGGATATCATTGGTGTCTAAGTCTTTCATGATTTTAATCTGATAACTTCTTCTTTTTATATATTTTTTATTCTGGTTTATTATTCATCAAAACCTTGTTATGATTTTTCTTATGATAATCAAGTATTGGTACAGTGGTATGCTTTGTATTTTGATCTAAGTACTTGTGGAATTTGCTTTATTTTCATGCTCAATCCTTTCTCTTTTCTTTTTTTTTTTTTCTTTTTTTTTTTTTTTTTTTTTAAATTAGTGGTTCTCTATCAATGATCTTATTCTGAAGCCTTTGTTCTATTACCCTCTGTTTTTCTTTTTTCTTTTTTTTTTTTTTCTTTTTTTTTTTTTTTTTTCAGCCTGATGGCCAGATGCCAGGTGACAAAACAATTGGCGGAGGAGATGATGCGTTCAACACCTTTTTCAGCGAAACTGGTGCTGGGAAGCATGTGCCTCGTGCTATTTTTGTCGATCTTGAGCCTACTGTCATTGATGAAGTGAGGACTGGCACTTACCGCCAGCTCTTTCACCCTGAGCAACTCATCAGCGGCAAGGAAGATGCTGCCAACAACTTTGCTCGCGGCCACTACACAAGTAAATATTTACCTCTCATCACACTTTCTGTTTTCAAAATTTCCTTTCTAGTAATACTGTGTTTAGTTGGGGAATTTTGAGAGGGATTTGGAAAGAAAAATGGAAAAGGTAGGTGAAATGTGAATAAAATATGTCTATATTTCACTTAGTTTCACACCCATTTTTCCTTTTCCTTTCTAAATCTCTTTCCAAATCACCTAACCAAAATATAGCATAAGAGTATCTCCAATGATTTGTCCATTTTATAGTAGGTCTGTGTCAAAAGTATAAGTTTTGGCAGTTTCTATTTTTGGCAAATGCCAAAGTTGTAAAGTCACTAAAACCAACCTTCCCTCCCTCCGTCCCTCCCTTTCTCATCATCCTTCGCAGCAAAATGTTCTAAAACAGAAGCAAAATTCCATCCAAAAATAAATAAACTCTAAAGCTAAAAATTTCAGAATCAATAAATCAATCTGAAGCAAAAATAAAAAAAATAAAAATATTCACTTTGCTTGGTTTGGATTTTCTAAAAAAGCTTTTCAAAAAATTTTATTTTCTTATTTTTCATATTTTTTTTATTTTTACTGAATTTTTTTAGTATTTTAAGCAATTTTTTTAATTTTTAAACACATCTAACATAAATACATTTAAAAAGTATAATTTTTGTGAAAAAAATCTTTAAAAAATTTACTAAATACAAAAAATACAAAAAAATAAAAAACAAAAACAAAAAATCAGTATATTTTTTGTATTTTTGTGTATTTATTAAATTTTTGAAATGTTTTTTCACAAATATTTTACTTTTTAGATACATCTAAGTAAGGTGCATCTAAAAAAGTAAAAAAAAAAATGCTTAAAATTTTAAAAATATTTACTAAAAACAAAAAAATACAAAAAACAAAAAACTTTATTTTCAGAAAACTGAATTCAGAAAATTGAAACCAAACACAATTGAATTTCAGGAATTTCAAGGAATATGAATAAATCAATTTCAACAATTTCAAGCAATCAATTTCAAAAATAAAAATTGAATTTCAGCAAGATAATATTATAAAAAAATAACTGCAATTTGAAGAGGAATTTGGCTTCATCTTCTTCATCTTCATCCTTATCTTTGGATGGTCTTCATTAGGATTTCGGGTTTGGATCATTTTTGAGAGAGAGGGATTGTTGGAGAAGAGGTTTAGAACACAGAGAGAGGTAGAACGAAGAGAGAGAGAGAGGATCATTTTGGTTAGGGTTAGGGTTTCGATCATTGGAGAAGAGGGTCTAGAAAAGCATTCAAGTTAAGCGCATTCTATACTCAAAACCTAATTATTTAAAATGAATAATTATAGTATCATATATAACACAGAGTAATAGATAAAACTAAGATTTTAAATAGAAAAGTGATGCTATATATTTTTATTTATTTAGTAGTTTCAAAATATAAAAGTTGTTGAAATTTATAGGTTATAGATGGAAAACAAAATTAAAAAATAAAAAGGTGATCCCTTTTTTTATTACGTATGTTTAAAATACAAAAATTGTTAAAATTATAGGTAAGAGATGCAAAATAGAGTTAAAAAATGTACAATAAGATATCATAAATACTTATTTTTTAAATACACAATTTAAATTTTTAAAAATTATAAGTCGCATTTCATTTTTATCTAATTTCTAACCTATGTTACCTCTGTTCTATTATTTTTGAGTTTTTTTTTTTTTTTTTTTTAGGTGACATTTCACTTTTATCCAATTTTTAAGCTCCTGCCCTCTATAGCTCTTCCATTATTAAAGTTATATTAGATTTTGTTTTCTTTTTCAAGTTATATTATTAAAGTTATATTAGTTGCGTCATCACTATATCATCATCAGATGATGAAAATTCATCAAAATCTCCATTCAAAACGACTTTAGTGAAATTGTTCATTGTGGGTGGGTGGATGAGTGAATATGAAAATTATAGATAATTTTGTGGATAGTTTAGAAGATATGAAAATAATTGATAAGTGAATATGAAAATTGTAGAAAACTTTATGTTATAATTTATAGAGAAAATTGTGGGTTTGGATGAATGATGTGGTTGTTGGTGGGTAGTTGTTGGTAAGTGAATGGTGGATGAATAATGGATGATTGTTGGCTGAGTGATTGTCGGTGAATGAATGTTGCGTGAATGATGAATGATTGTTGGTGGGGAGTTGTTGGTGAGTGCATGCTGGTAAATAATGGATGGTTGGTGGGTAATTGATGATTGTTTATTTTTTAATGTAGTTAATTTTTTTTATTATTATTTTGTTTTTTGTAGTGGTATGTTTTTTGATGGGGTGAATTATATTTTTCTTTTTTCAATTTTTCAATTTTTTTTTTCATTTTTTATATTTGTCTAGTCGGATATAATATAAATATATAATTTTTTTGAAAAACAGTTGAAAAAATGCCACAAAAGACAAAAAATAAACAAAAAAAAAAAAAATCACTAAAAAATCTATATTTAAACAATACCTACAAATTTGAAGGGAAAGCTAGTTGAGATTTGCCAACATAGCATGTGATTATTAGAGCACCGTTACTATAATTTGATAATTTATTACTATTTATTGCCAAATTATAGTTGCTATTATTGCAAATGTCATTATAGAAGCTCTAATTTTGCGTTTCTTTATTATATACAGCTGGCAAAGAGATTGTTGATCTCTGCTTACTATAATTTGATAATTTGTTACTATTTATTGCCGAATTATAGTTGCTACTATAGCAAATATCATTGGAGTTGCTCTAATTTTGCGTTTCTTTGTTATATACAGTTGGCAAAGAGATTGTTGACCTCTGCTTGGATCGCATCAGGAAACTTGCTGACAACTGCACTGGCCTTCAGGGTTTCCTTGTTTTCAACGCTGTTGGTGGTGGTACTGGTTCTGGTCTTGGATCACTTCTTTTGGAACGTCTTTCTGTTGACTATGGCAAGAAATCAAAGCTCGGTTTCACTGTTTATCCCTCACCCCAAGTCTCTACTTCTGTTGTGGAGCCCTATAACAGTGTCCTCTCAACCCACTCCCTTCTCGAGCACACTGACGTTGCTGTGCTTCTGGACAATGAGGCCATCTATGACATCTGCAGGCGCTCCCTTGACATTGAGCGCCCTACTTACACCAATCTGAATCGCCTTGTCTCTCAGGTAAACAAACGCCACTCAATGTGAAATTACAAAGATGTGTTTCAAATGATGATGATGCAAATGAATTCCTTTGATGTAGGTGATATCTTCACTTACTGCCTCATTGAGGTTTGATGGAGCTTTAAACGTTGACGTGACTGAATTCCAGACCAACCTTGTGCCCTACCCCAGAATCCATTTCATGCTCTCCTCATATGCTCCTGTCATTTCAGCTGAGAAGGCCTTTCACGAGCAGCTTTCCGTGGCAGAGATCACCAACAGTGCCTTTGAGCCTTCATCGATGATGGCTAAATGTGATCCCCGCCATGGCAAGTACATGGCCTGTTGCCTGATGTACCGTGGAGATGTTGTGCCCAAGGATGTGAATGCAGCTGTGGCCACCATCAAGACCAAGCGAACAATCCAGTTTGTTGACTGGTGCCCAACTGGGTTCAAGTGTGGCATCAACTATCAGCCGCCAACTGTTGTTCCCGGAGGTGACCTCGCGAAGGTGCAGAGAGCTGTGTGCATGATATCTAATTCAACCAGTGTCGCTGAAGTCTTCTCCCGCATTGACCACAAGTTTGATCTCATGTATGCTAAGCGAGCCTTTGTGCACTGGTACGTTGGTGAGGGCATGGAAGAAGGAGAATTCAGTGAAGCCCGTGAGGATCTTGCTGCCCTAGAAAAGGATTACGAGGAGGTTGGTGCTGAGACTGCCGAAGGTGATGAAGGTGACGAAGGAGATGAATATTGATTTTTGAAGGTCTATTGTGTGCTCATCATGGTTTCCTTATCATTTTCTGTTATTATATGTTCTAATGGTGGATTTGTCCTGGTTGTGAACTTCTTGTGCTCAAGAGTTGTTTGGTATTAAGAATATGTGCTTCACTAATTTGTATAGCACCTGGGGGTCCTCCTTTGTGGGTCCCAAACATTTTCCTTTCCTTTTATGTTGTGTTAAGAGTTTATATTTTAAGAATAGCTTTGTCAAAAGCAGACCATGTTTTTGGTGAGCTGTACAGTACGACAGATCATAGCATGGCCTGTTTTGGCAATAGCCATGGCCATTTGAAATGTTTCAATAGGTGCATAATCCAAACAGAAGCAACAAAGCATTTAAAAGACCACCAATGTCTATTACTGAAACATTTTGCATTTTCAGAACAATCAAACAGAAGCAACATAGTATTTGGAAAACCACAATTGCTATGCCCAAAACGTTTCACTCTTTGAGAACAATGTTGTTCTGACCCAAACAATAGATTTGAAACAAGAAAATGGCTTGATAGGCACACACTGATGCTTACAGAAGAAGAAAAACAAAGCACCATGTGATCATGAACGTAGAATAACAGATGGAACAATTGTCTTGCTCTATTATTATTTACAAATACGAACAACTTATTCTGTGCAGAAAATGCTAGCTACTATGTTTGTTTATTAAAAAAATTCACTGTAAAAATATAATTCATTATTGTCTGGCTCAATTTAAATACCACAATGCCAAGTGAGAAAGCACAGTGGTCAATGCTCAAAAAATCGTTCAAGCTAGTAGTGCCTTGTACTTCAACCTCACAATCGTCCTAGCTTTTGGACAAGGCGGTTCTCAATTTCTAATCTCTTCTTCATGAACAAACCATACTTGTTGACAAGTTCTTGGTCTCCAGCATTCACTGAAAGTTTGCAGGCGAGAGATGTCTTCTCCAACTTGTCCATGTACATACATGAGATCGGCACAAAACTGCCCTTCTTGTTGCACAACCAACCATGAGCGGCCCTCAATGCCGCTCCTAGCGATGCAGAGTCTGTCAAGCAAGATAAAGATTTTGCTATCAGGGCACGGCATGAATTTTAGTTACTTTCACATATGAAGGCATCAGTTTCTCTAGAGACTCCTTGAAATTGGGAAAGATTATGAATATGGAACTTAGATGCACAAAGAGGGGTAGAGACGGGAGCAGGAGTGGGGATGTGAAAGCAAGAGCATATCGAAGTTTCTAAAGTTGGAAGTATCTATAGGAGCGTGTATATATTTTATATATTAAATATATAAATCTATTAACAATTAACTTTTTTTTTCCTGCTTATCAATAATATATATGTTAAAATATGAATAAATAGTAGAAATTTAAGTCAACTACAAATTGTCTTTATTAAATATAAATAAATATTATATAAATAGAAACTTAGAATAAGTTTGAGTTGTTTTTGTTTTTGTAAGATTTGTGTGTTTGAGAGGTCCTATCTCATTTGGGAGACAGTTTCTTATGAGTTTCTTTCACTTAGGAGTACGTGATAACATTTCTGAGTACGAAACCCAAGTAGGAGGTTCCTGATACTAAGATCCGGAAACTTAAGATCAATAATGATTTCGTTATGTTTTCAGTGGGTGTGGGACATTAACTACATAAATCTGTTACAACAAGGCCAAGTTGATCTGAATAATGTATCCAGTTATTGACTGCATAAATTTAGTTAAACAAACAGGACAGACCTGGTCTTTGGACTGTATGGACATTACAGCCAAAGATGGCAGCTACTGTGTTTAGAATGCTCTGATTTGCTGATGCTCCGCCTGTAGCTATTATTCGTTTTGGAGGAGAAGGCATTCCAAATCTTTCAGCATGACCTCGCAAAGAGAGCAACTGGCCCTCAATCAATGCTCGAACCTGCAAGTGAATTTATTTAACGGTAAGAAAAGTGTTTTCACCCAAGATCTCATGAAATCTCAACTAAGGCAACTACTAACCTCAGAGGGAGGATCAAATTTATCCACTTCACGTTCACTTATGCCATCTAAGGTATCGCCAGTGAAATTCTCAAGTACATAGCGGTGGAAACCAACTGGATACATAAGCAACTTTTGAGTTTATCATTGCTAAATTCTTGTCATGATGAAAAAAGGAAAATACGACATGGTCAAAAACTCGAGCATCTACATGTCTGGATCTTGATCTCAATTTCATTTTGCTAGACGAACTGAGTGAATGATCGACACTCAAGACTCCATGTGTACTAAGTAGGACTTGAATTACTGTTTATATCAATTTTAGGGCATGTTTGATTAGTAGGATTATAACATAAGATAGAGGTTGCTAGTCCATGGACTCAGGCCTTGTTTGGGAACCCTATTTTTTAGCTAAAAAGCCAAAAAGTTACTAAATTAGCCAAAAAGCTAACAACCCATACCAAAAAGTCAAAGATTCTCTTTTCTCTCTACTTTTTGCACATCTTTTCGCAAAAAGCCAAAAAGTCATCCCAAACATATTAGTTTTTTTTAGGTCAAGTTTGGCATAACCTAAATAATACAAAAAGTCAAAAAGTCACTATTCTATTTAAGTCACATCATCTTATTTAAATCACATCACATCTCTAACACATCACATCAAACTCAACCCAAACCCAACCCATATAAGTCAATAAGTCAAAAAGTGCACTTTTTTAGAATATCCCAAACCAACCCTTAGTTCATATTTTAGCCAAATAGCCAAAAAGTTACTAAATTAGCTTGTTCTCAAACGAGGCGTCAATCTCATGTTTGATTGCAAATTTTATTAACCAAATTATATGTAGGGGGGGGGGACATTAAATCCGACGAAATTGACGAATTTTTATTATTGAGAGAAGATAGGGATCATAATATCAAGTATGAAAGAAAAAAATAAAATAAATACATAATAAATGGTTATCTCACTAATTTAATTGGATAACTAATCCTATACTAATTCATGAGATTATTAATCATTTCACTATTAATCCTTTTAATCAGACAAGACCTCAAATCTCTATCAGCCAATTTGGTAAGATAATAAATTAAACCAGCACAAATAGTTGAATGGATCAAAAATAACTCTCACATCAGCCTGTATATATATCAAATTCTTTTTTGAGTAGAAAACTAAAGATGAACCATGTCACACCCTTCGGTGTGTTTGATGTGTGGTACAATTATATTCAAGAGTGAAATGAATGCAATGCTCTGACTTCCATATTACTGAAATGGAAGTACTTTGCTAGACCACCACTAAAATATGTAGGAAACAAAACCCATTAACTTACCAGGGAGGGGAGGAAGTATTTCATACTCCTTGTAGTAGAAACCTATCTTTCCACCTATGGCAGAGAGAAATATGTGAAACCACAAAATAAAAACAACTCCTCCAAACTCATTCAAGAAACATATTTACTTACCATTTAGAGGTGGTGTTTGTTGCAGAAATTTAGCAAAAACTTCCCAAGATTTATCCGCACATTGATTTCGCACATCTGTCAAGGTTGTGATGGTCACTAATAGGAATTTTCAGTTATTGTTTTATTTGAAACTTGAAACCAATGCTTTAAAAACAGGACCGTACCCAATGCTTGAACCACCTGGACTATTAACCAGTTCAATTTTGGATGAGAATTTATGGTTGAACCACCTGGACTATTACCCAAATAGTTGAACCTCCTATTCACTTTCTCTAAACCAAAAGCTTTACTGAACTTGACTGAAACTCTATGTGCTATGATTCAGATCTAATAAAATTTATTTCAAAGCAACACCACTCCCTCGGAACTGACAATATCTATTCCCTTGAGTTCAGTAGTTAGTGATTTCTTCCAAATGAATTATTGTTAAATCTTTCATCTTTTGCTGATGTTTTCTGCCTTACTGATTTTTTAACTTGAAATGACTCACTTAATGTGATTCACTTTTGAAGATTTTCTATTTGTGTACCAATAGCAAACACATACACATGAAATAAATACAATTTGACTTTTCACCCCCAAAAGAAAGACCATTTAAATAATAATAATATATAAATTAGTATATTTATGATATCATAATGATGTCAAGGTTCAACCATGGTTGACCCAAATGTCCCATACCAGGCCAATTTTCCAGTTCAAGAAACAGTCCAATTTCCAAAACTTTGGTCGAAACCCTTAGAATTATATATCAGATATGAGTAGTTCACCTTCACGAGTCAAAGACCCATTCTTATAGCACAACATCACCATGTAGCTTTTTGGGTCAACTGGATTAGGAAATACATGCCCTTCTAAGCTTGGTTGAGGGTCATTGGTAATCCCAAAAACCTGAATGACAAGGATGAACAGATCACAAGTGAATTAACTCACAAGGAATCAAGATTGGGGTATAAAAGGGTACAGCAAAATAACAGTTATTTAGGCTCGACTCATGACTGTAAGAACATTGAACCTTACAGACATAAGTTAGACACCCCCTAAATCATGCTGACAGACACTATAAACAAAAAAGAAAAGAAAGAGAGAGAGCTAATTACACTAATGGTCCCTATAGTTTGGGACTTGTATCACTTTGGTTCTTGACTTTTCAATTATGACACATTCGACCCTAAATTTTGAATATTGATTCAAATAAGGACAATTGAAGATACCATTGCTCAATTTCAAAGGCAAAGTCATCAATTTAATAAAATATAAACTAATTTGACAAAAATAAAAGTCAAAAAAATATTGTTGAATTTTTAAAAATTACTTCTACCTATCAAATATAAAATTCTGTATAATTAATAAATCTTTTACACATTTATTTATTTATTTATTTTACCAAATTAATTTTTAATGTGTTTGAATGATGATCATGTAATGTAATGGGTAGTTATTTTTATTTTCATTAAATTAGTTTATATTTTTTTAAAAGTCAAATATAACGATAACTTTGATATTATTATTAAACCAATCCATTAAATCAAAAAATCCAAAAAACATTTCATATATTAAATATATCGATTACACATTAAAAGGCTTACAACCGCCTATTGCATGATCATCAACCAATCACATAATAAAAATTTATTTAGTAAAATAAATAAATAAACAAATGTGTAAAAGATTTATCAATTTTATATAATTTTATCTTTGGTGAATAGAAATAATTTTTAAAAATTCAAAAAATATTTTTTTTGACTTTTATTTTTGTCAAGTTAGTTTATATTTTATCAAATTGATGACTTTACCCTTGAAATTGAGCAATGGTCTTCAATTGTCCTTATTTGGAACAAGATTCAAAATTCATGGTCAAATGTGTCACAATTGAAAAGTCAATAACCAAAATGACACGAATCCCAAACTATAGAGACTATTAGTGTAATTTGCCCCAAAAAAAATTGAATTTTGATCATCATTGATAAAATAAGGCATGCTTAAGCTTCCATCTCCAGCTAACTGCTGAACAAGGCAAATTTAAGCAAGATAAACTTAAACAACAATAGAACCTGAAGATTAGCTGCGATAAAAAAGTGTCATGAACAATTCAATAACCATTGGCTAATCGATGATTGTGTACATACAGGTGTGGAATTAGAAAACAGATATGATTGGCAGATTGGGACAGTGAGAACATTTGATTAGGCTAGTTAGTGTGCTTAAACTCAGTTGAGCACAAAATAAGATTATAACAAGATATACAAATACCAATATCAAGTACATAAACAAGTAACTTAAGATTGTATATATTTTAACTTACAGTGTCACTAGTGCCAAGACTAATTGCTAGATCCCCAGGAGTGTTTAGGGTCAAACCTACATATGTTCAGAATGTCAAGTCAGCATGGAAGTAAGAGAATATGAGAATATGGGTAAAAATACACAACAAGAGGAGAACCAGAAGTCACATCTTGGTCAGCCAGTAAACTAAAACAAAGCATTTTGCAAGACAATGCAACAGATACAAAATTCTATTCCGAATCAATCATTGTTCCAGCAAGCACAAAAGTGATGGGATGGAACCTCAGGACGAAAAAAGAAAATGCTAAAAGCCTCCTTTTAAGAAAATATCAAAAAAATTCTAAAGCATGGATCATGCATTGAGGAAGCTGAAATAAGTGAACAAAAGATATGATCTGAAAAGTAAAAGATGAAAAAAAACCATTCACCTGCTAAGCTGTTAGGGTTGTCTCCAGACCACTGAACAACCAAACAGTTCTTGTTGAAGTGGAACCTGGAAGCAGTTTGATGTAATACGTTACAGTCAATATTATATTCAGAGGGTAAAACACAAAATGCCTATATGAATGAACTATTAACTATAAAAGAAAAAGCAGTATACGAACTGAAGTCAAACCAAAGATTTAGGTATGTGCCAATGTTTTGTACAAAAGTTGTTGCGTCTGAAATTCATGATGTCACAAATTTACTGACAGTTTTCACTAACCTCTCCACAAAATATGGAGCAATAACACCAGCAACAGCATGTGCAGGAGCCAAATTTCCAAGTTTCTCCTCCAAACCTGGTGCAGTGGCCTGTGATGAGCATGAAAGTTCAACATCAACTGATCAAGAGATGTAAGATTGACCATTAATCAACAAATATCATCTCAAAGTATCAGCATACGATGCTTATAATTTGGACAAGAAACAAAGAGCATTAATTCAAATTATAACTAATACCAACTGAAAAAGAATCACATGATATTGAACATGGAACTAAAAGAGTTGTCTCTAAATTCAGTGAACAGACCTCTAAAGCTATTTTAGACCAAGCCCGTTGCTTAATGTCCATCAAGTTCATTCCCGCACCATCGGTTTCATCAATACAAGCATAGGCCCCTATAAGTAGAGATGCTACAAAGGAGCTAACCAGGGAGATCCTCTCAGTATTGTTATAAACTTCTGGCTGTGTCTCGAATATCCTTCGAATTTGTGGGCCAGTGAATCTCTCGTACCCACGTGACCCAGTAATTCTAGATAACTCCAATGCGCCTCCAACAGCTTTCTCAATGACTTTGCACTGTTCTGTGGTGCTGCTGTCCATCCATACCGGCGATTCCTTTGTTGAAAAGGCATCACCGAGTTGATCCACCAATGGTTTCTTCGGGTCCAATGCCGATAATTTGGTGGAACTTCCAGTTTTCCAATACACACTGCCATGTTGCTGTCCACTTCCGGAAACAGCAACAATCTTCCCAAAATCCAATTTGGAAGAGAGTCTCTGAAGCATGAGTTCAAATGCTTCAACCCACATCAAGGTTGGCGAAACGATTCGGCCATTGACAGATGGGTCTCTGTAGACACCATCTTTGGTTTTGTAATGGGGCAATTCAGAATCAAAATTAACAATATCCGAATGGACAATGTTGAGATTGGCATCTAATACAGTCGCCTTCAATGACCTAAAAAATCAAAAATTTATAAAATTCAGTCAAAAGGGTTTGTACTTAATTCTCAAAAAAAACTAGCAACCCTGAATGAAACTAGATAAAGTCAGAAGAACCCAGAAAAGAAAACAAGCCAAACACATAAAATTGATAAATAATTGAAGTACCTAGAAAAAAAAATACATGATTGAAGTAGCACCAAAAACAAATTAATTGATAACATACAACACTTCTGAATGAAATTCTCAAAACCCTGAATGAAACTGGACAAAATCAAAAGAACCCAGAAAAGAGAACAAGCCAAACATAAGAAATTGCGATCTGGGTGATTTAGAATTTGTTACTAGTAGAAAGAACGAAGGTGAGAAAGAACAGAGACTTACTGAGTAGAACTGTCGAATCCAAGGAAAAGAGAGCCCAGGCGGAGAGAACAATCCTCCATTGTAGCAAAAGCAAGCAATCACAGCGAAAATCAATTGAAATTCAAAAACCACAAAGAAAAGATTATGCTATGCAAAGTTGAGGAAAAATGGGAATGTTATAGTACATATATACCTACCTACTTGTTTGGATAAACACGAAGTCATAAAAAATTGGAATGGATAATCCAACGTATTTAACGGGTTATGTACGACTTTAGTTGGGAAAATTTAAAAACGCTGACGAGTAATTTGGGATTGTTTGTGATGATTTAAATAAGTGTATTTTTTATTTTTTTATAAAATGAAGTGTAAAAAAATAGAGAGGTGATGTAATAAAAAAAAGATAAAAAAAGATGAAGTATGCCAAACTTGGCCTAAATATAGATTTGATCTCAAATAAATTATCAAATTTTTTATTAAATATTTTATATGGTGAGATTTATATATATGAGAAGTTTGGTAAAAATTTAATAATTTATTTAAACTTTATAATATTTTTCATAAATATAAGATTGCTATGTGACGAAGCTAAATTTTTTGGAAAAATATTTGATATTTCCCATTTTTTGTGACCCTATAATTCACAATTGATTTGTGGTTATTTATTTATTTTTTCTTCCTCTCTTTCTTTCCCTCGCTGTCTCTCAAATGCGGTGCGAGTGGCGGGGTTGTGGGATCTAGAGCATAGTCAAATTTTTTCGAAATTTTTATTGATAAGTCCAATTTAGAAGTGTTTTAACCCAAGAAATGCATGAAGGAATTTTTTAACCTATTTAGTCTTATGTATGTATAGTTTTATTCCATAAAATCTATTTTCTTGATTTACACTATTTTCTTGGACACTTATGTCCTTATATTTAATTTCGATACCCTTATAAATATTTTTTCAACGATTAGCAATTTAATGATGTGAACATTCATATTTTAAAATTCACATTTATAGGAATGTAAATTGGCCCGTGGGCGGCCCAAAACCCCCCCGCGAGCCAGGGCGGACCCGGGCCGTTGACAATGTGAATATTCACATTGACATGTTAAAATTCACATTAATAGGAGTGTAAAATTGGCCCCCGTCCCGTGGCGGCCTGAAACCCGCCCGCGGCCCATGGGCAGCCCAGGGCGGGCCCGGTCCAGCCCGTTGACAATGTGAATATTCACATTGATATGTTAGCATTCACATTGATAAAAGTATAAAATTGGGCCGCGACCCATGGGTGGCCAAAAGCCCGCCCGCAGCCCGAGGCGAGCCTGGCCCGTCCCGTTGACAATGTGAATATTTACATTGACATGTTAACATTCACATTGATAGGAGTGTAAAATTAGCCCGCGCCTCGTAGCTGCCCGAAACCCACCCATGGCCAGTGGGCGGGCCCAGCCCGGCCTATTGACAATGTGAATGTTCACATTGACATGTTAACATTCACATTGATAGGAGTGTAAAATTAGCCCGCGCCTCGTAGCTGCCCGAAACCCACCCATGGCCAGTGGGCGGGCCCAGCCCGGCCTATTGACAATGTGAATGTTCACATTGCGTAGCTGCCCGAAACCCACCCACGGCCAGTGGCGCGGGCCCAGCCCGGCCTATTGACAATGTGAATGTTCACATTGACATGTTAACATTCACATTGATAAGAGTATAAAACTAGGCAGCAGCCTAGGGCGGGCCCGACTCGGCCCGGCCCAGCCCGTTGACAATGTGAATATTCACATTGACATGTTAACATTCACATTAATAGGAGTATAAAATTGGCCCTCGTCTCATGGCGGCGTGAAACCGACCCGCGGCCCGGGGCGAGCCCGGTCCAGCCCGTTGACAATATGAATATTCACATTGACATGTTAACATTCACATTGATAAGAGTATAAAATTGGCCCGCAGCCCATGGACGGCCAAAAGCCCGCCCGTTGCCCGAGGCAGGCCCAGCCCGGCCCGTTGACAATGTGAATATTCACATTGACATGTTAACATTCACATTGATAAGAGTGTGAAATTAGCTCGCAGCCCGTGGGCGGCTCGAAGCCCGACCGCAGCCCTAGGCGGGTTTGGACCGACCCGTGACAATGTGAATATTCACATTGACATGTTAACATGCACATTGATAGGAGTGTAAAATTAGCCCGCGCCCCGTAGCTGCCCGGTTACAGAGATCTCTGTCGGTTCTCTCGTGGAACCACTACTGTTTACTGAGTGATGGCCATCATTACTGTTCAGTCTTTTAAGACCTACTGTTACTGATATTCTAATGGATGTACCACATATGACTGTTTACTGTACTGAACAACTGAAATACTGATTGAATTGATCTGTTTTCATTACTGTAAGGACATTCATTCTAAACCCCTTTACGCTTTATGTTATTCACTGGGCTTTAGCTCACTGCTCATATATATATGTAGGTGTACAGGCACCAGACCGCAGCTAGAGGCGTCAGGGTTACCCCAGTTTTGTCAAGCCAGCCTTTGTGCCTCACCACGAGGTTCCGAGCCTATCTGTTAAGGCTTAGGGGTCTTTTACAATTCCCCCCTTCTGTACTGTTTTACTGTTTTGTATAGACGGAATGTTTTCTGTACTGTTTGGTAGGGTTGACTCCCTAGTCTGAATGATTGTAAATACTGTGCACACTGTTATGTACTGTTTATGTATAAATGTATGAAAAGCCTTTTTGCATACAGACTGTCACAGCTCAATGGACACTATTTATTTACTGTATTGGCTTCCGCCAGGCCCTGTACTCTGTTTTACTGTATTACTGTTCAGCAGGCCTTCGGGAATCTCGGATTACTGGCCACATTCGCAATGAACATTAACATCAACTTACACAATACACAGATGTGAACACTAATTCTAATTTTAGCACAAGAATAATGTGAATGTTAACATGTCAATGTGAATATTCACATTGTCAACGGGCCGGGCCGGGGCTTCGGGCTGCCCACGGGTCATGGGCCAATTTTATACTCTTGTCAATGTTAATGTTAATGTTAATATGTCAATGTGAATTTTCATATTATGAACGGGCCGGCCCGGGCCCGCCCCGGGCGACGGGCTGGTTTCTGGCCGCCTACGAGCCGCAGACCAATTTTACACTCCTATCAATGTGAATGTTAACTTGTCAATGTGAATATTCATATTATCAACGGGCCGGGTCAGGTCTATTTTTTTGGCTTGTGGGCCGGCCGGGCCCGATTCGAATTTTTTCAAGCACCCACGAGGGTATTTTGGTCTTCTTATCTCAAATTGGACCTAATGGAATAGTCAAAAAGAATATGGGTTGGATGGAATAAAACTCTTAGAAAATAAATGGATTTATCAAAAAAGCTCCCAATTTTTTTTTCAATGATGATTTAATTTTTTTTTTTTTTTTTTTTGAGACAATCCATTATTGATAAAGTAAGCCTCATACATATATGAATGAATCCTGTACATAATTGAAATCCAAAAAAGATTCTAAAAAAAAAGACCCCAAGCATTTTCCATTTTTTATTTAACGTAAGATTTACTTGTACATTCATTTTGTAATTATCTTTTTCATTCTTTATTTTTTGAGTAAATTACAGTAACACTCTCGGATATTCTAGTTTAATACAAATCATCCCTCATATTTAAAAAATTACACTTATTTCTTCATCAGATTAAAAAAAACATATTTTTTATACATATAAAATAATAAAATAATACAGGTATTTTGTTCATATCGTTTCAAGAGAAATAATAATCATATTTTTTTTGATTTATCACACATAAAAATTGAGAATATATTTATAATTTACCCTGAAATAAATACACAGAGACACCTTTTTAATATCCATATTATCCTCCAGGATTTTGATAATTGCAATATTACATAACCAAATTTTTAATCAAAAAATTTATTTAAAAATTTAAGGACAAATTGTAACGATAGTCTCTGTACTTTGGTGTTGTGTCACTTTAGTCCTTATAACTTCAATTGGGTTGATTTTAATTCTGAATTTATGATTTTGTCTCAATTTAATTCAATTGATTACAATTCTTAATTTTTTTTTATGAAAAATACACACGTATATGTTATGTATTACATTTTTAAGGATAAAATTATAAACTTACTCAATCTAGTTAGTTAATCTTAACCACCATATTATCAATTGAACCAAATTGAAATAAAATCTAAAATTAAGGAAAAAAATTGAACCAATTGAAAGTGTAAGGACCAAAATGACATCTTAACCAATTTAGTGATAATTTTTTTAAAAAAACACTAACCATATTATCAATTGGACCAAAGTGAAACAAAATCTAAAATTAAGGGTAAAAATTGAGTCAATTAAAAGTATATGAACCAAAATGACATAAGAGGTAAAATATGAGAACTATCAATGTAATTTGCCCAAAATTTTAATATGATTTCTAAATTTATTCTTACTATAAGCCATACCATACAAAAAAAATAAAAAAATGAATGGGGATCGCACATTAACTTTTGAAATAAAATTGTGAACACAATCATGAGTCTTTAGCTTTTTCTATTGTGATACAACATGCTATTATAATCAAAATTTTAAATTAAATCATCATTATATAATGACGGTTTTAAGTTTGAATTTAAACTAATATTTAATGTGAGGTCTAAATTTATTCTTTAGTATAAGTTTTATCATATAAAAATTAAATTGGGATCGCATATTAACTTTTGAAATGAAATAAGATTCTGAACATAAATTATGAGTGTTCAATTTTTCTGTCTTGATAAACCATGCTATTATAATCAAAATTTCAAATCAACTCATCTTTATATAAGAACGATTTTGAATTTAAATTTAAAATAAAAAATTAAAGTGAGGTCTAAATTTATTTTTAGTATAAGTCTTACCATATAAAAATTGAATTGGGATCGCACAATAACTTTTGAAATAAAATTCTGAACATAAATTATGAGTGTTTAGCTTTTTTGTTTTGATAAATCATGCTATTATAATCAAAATTTCAAATCAATTCATCCTTGTATAATGACGGTTTTGAATTTGAATTTAAAATAAGAACTTGTAGATTTAAAAAAAAATTATTTCACAAAAAATATGGATTATCTTTTTCTTTTGAACGGGGTTAATATGCATTGTTAAGATTGTTCTTGAGTCAATCTGGATCGGGTTCGCCTGTAACTACTCACTCAATTGATGGCCATAGGGCC